CACGGAAACTGATGGACTGTCGCACGCGCCACCAGTGTGTTCTTTGAGTGACCGCTTCCTCCTCACCCGCACCCGCCCCACTGTAGCGACCCGTGTCCTCACCCCACCCCTCCTCTCTTGTGCTGACTTAAGACGGTGGGATGGACGACCCTACCCGTACACACATACACACACACCGTCAAACAAACAGACGCCTGCGCGTAAGGTGCATGACGTTATACCCGGCCGAGGATCAAAGCTCCCCTGGCTCCCCGCCCCAGTATCTGCCCTATATATTCCCGGAGCTACCGACAGCCGCTACTAGAGTGTTGGCCTGCTACAGCTGGGCCGCCTGCGCTACATCATTCTCGCCCCTTTTGACTCTTTACGTCGAGTTGGCGTTTATTACTGTGTTAGTGATAGACGAAGGATCAAACAAGTTGATCGTATTCTCTGCAACTCCTATTGGGCTTTAGCAGTTAGTCCGTCAGAAGTAAGGTCTAACAGTAGTTGTTGTGATAGTATACATCATACTGTATACCTGTGTTGTCTTCGTCTTCTAAAGGACTCATAATATAAGACTGTTCGGGCGTGAACGAGGAAGAAAAAAGTTGTTGATGTGTTTATGAAGTGTAACTGAGATTATCGTAAGCTTCTGTGTAAAAGTACCGTCGATCAAGACATACGTCTTCGAATAGTAATTGTGAAATAGTTGTTATAGTTGTTGGGAGGATTGAGGCATTCCGATATTTTCCCCCTTCGTTTTCAGCAGAACTTTGAATATTTGGAGTTAATTACCAGAGTGTGTTATTTTTTGTTTATACAAACATAAAAGAGTCGCTTTGGATTTCCTTTGTTGTGAGGATTTTGTTGCTGTGACCCAGATTTGGTCGTGCTGTGATCAGTGTTGCTGATGGCACTTATTGTTTTGTGACCAGCAGCCAGCAGCCGATGCTTGACACACTCTCGTTGCGAGTACTGACGTCATTTGTAGTGCTGGCATAACGGGTACTGGCTTGTTTCTGGTCATCGTGTGAAGAATTATATTATTGTTGTGACTTTTCAGTTTCAAGTTGTCTACGGTCAGATAGATTACTGGATTTTTTGTCTCTTTCTTCTTTGAAGGTTTACCTGTATACGCCGGAGAGTTGTCGCCTTTTTAAAATAACTGTTCACAGCCCCAAACGTGACGCTTCAAGTTCCTATTCGTTGGTGTTTATTAAGGTTTTGGAGCACTGTTCTTGTGATCCGAAGGAACCTTGCAAGTGATAACGAATGAGAACTGTTTGTAGTCTTTGACTGGTACACGAGAGAAACACCCCCTTATTCGAGATGAACTTACATTTGTGACTTGTTGGCGAGTACTGAACTTGCACAAACAGACACACAAAAAAGCTCCCACAAAGTGCTGAAAGTCATCAGAGAGACGTGTGTTGCTAGTTGGCGGTGTGCTCACGATCAGTGCGGTACCGCTGTCGTTATCATTCAGTGAGAGTGGATATATTAGCAGTTACCCCTCCCTCGGCCGCCCCTCTCCTCCTCCCCCTCCCCCACCTCCTGATGCCCCAGCCCCCCTGTGGACCCAGTGCCACCTCCCCCGCCCCCGCACGCCCCGCCGTCGAGAAGACGTCGTGCGCCATCACGGCGGTGACCACTACCCTCACCACCACCAGCGTCACCACGGGACCCCTGGACCCCGCCATACTGGCCGTCATGCGCAATAACAAAACACAGACGTTCCTCAGGAAGATGGTAAGGAAAGCCTGATACGAAACACGTTCGGACTCGACTCGAATCCCAACTACACTAAAAACGGCCGTTAGTGTGTTCTTGCAATGTACATCTCTTGACTCTCCGAATGACTCACTGGACAATCTTTATAATCTAAGCTGCCTCGAAACTTTGGTTGGCACTTCTGAAGTGACGAAAGCTAAGACAAAATACCCTATTCCACCATAAGATCCGTTGCTATTTCAAAAATGACAAGGAGCTAAAACAACCTCGCGCCACCCC